GTATCCCCAGCTCCGACTAGCACTATATCAGCCCAACACTATCACTATATCAGTATAAGGGGGTATAAACAGCCCTATTACCTAGAGTATCCCCAGCTCCGACAAGCACTATATCAGTATAAGGGATATATATATATAAACAGCCCTATAACCTGGAGAATAATGGGTATAAACAGCCTTATTACCTGGCCTATCCCCAGCTCCGACTAGCACTATATCAGCCCAACACTATCACTATATCAGTATAAGGAGGTATAAACAGCCCTAGAGTATCCCCAGCTCCGACAAGCACTATATCAGCCCAACACTATCACTATATCAGTATAAGGGATATATAAACAGCCCTATAACCTGGAGTAAAATGGGGATAAATAGCCCTATAACCTGGAGTAAAATGGGTATAAACAGCCCTATTACCTGGTGTATCCCCAGCGGCCCCGGTGTCCTTCAGTTTGGGAGACCCCTGTTCTTCCCTCACATTGTTACTTAGACTACCAAGTCTGAAGGAAAGAAAAAAAACAGTAATTAGAACAAAATCATTTTTAATTAAAATGTACTTTAAAATCACATACATATATATTTTATAAAGCTTATCAACTCATTCACCCCCTGTAAATTCATAATGAACTCTTCCAACCTTTGAATTGGAAGAGTCTAAATGTCTCTTCAGGGATGAATGAGTTAAGGAAAAGTACATTGTAATATTTTTTGTACTAATCAATTTGATTTATATTTAGTTTGTACCAGACAGCAAGTTTATATTTCATCAAAATTCATAACTTGTCAATCATAATGAAAATGTAAACATCAACGCATTGCACCCCTACATATTTAAACTGGACGTGTCCAGTCTTTGATTTGGTAAAGTTCAAATATGACCATAGGGATGAATGGGTTAATAATTTCTAAACTAACTTGATTCATCACCCATGAACTTGACCAATATTCAACCAATATGTTTTCATTTAACATATTCAACACAATGCAAGTTACTGGAACCTACTCAAATGTAATGCAAATCAATAGTAACTCTCCCGGATCAGGTGACAATCCCATTGATGACACTTTCACATTGCCAACAGTATAACTAATACCCCCAGCAGATGCTGGTAGTTTACAAATAATTTCGTGACCATGACCTTGGGGTTTTCGGACAGGTTATTTCGCATAAAGGACCGTTACTCCCTTAAAAAGTGTTAAAATCTGAAAATAAAATGCCGGTGCACATATATATACTGATCATTCAAGTGAAGTTTCAATAAAATCTGCCTATTAGTTAAGATGGAGTTTTCCGGACAAGTCTTTGTTGCAGGGGAGGGCACGTATAATTAAGTCCTGTCAAATCTTTGTGTTATTTTGACTAACACTAGAATACTAACAAATCAGTATGGGCCCTGCCATGTGCCGAAATATAGCACAATATACCACTCCCCTCTCCCTTGTCTATTTTTAGTAACAGTGACCTAGATCTTTTATTCAAAACCTTTTAAAACCCATATTACACATCAATACATATCATATAATGTATAATTGTGTCTTATTTTCAAAAGATTTAACTTTTGGATATTTTGTTAAATTATCACCAGAACAAGAAATCGGGCTTGAGCGCAGAATTTGAGTTTGAGCATGTGAACAGTTTCATGACTTCATGACTTCGGACCAAGTTGCATTTTAATCATGATGATTTGAGACATTTTTCTGGAGAAAGATATGTGATTTTTTAACTCATTCACCCCTACATATTTAAACTGGACTTGCCCAGTCCATGATTTGGTAAGGGTCAAATATGACTTTAAGGGTGAATGGGTTAAGAAAATTACCAAAAATTAATAAAAATGATTAAAATAATTCATTTTATTTCCACAATGGGACAGGCTCTGGATGGTTTATTGGGGTAAAACAGATTATTTGAACCAATACGGTGTACAGGTGACTGAGACAGGAACTACACGGAGATATAATACACCTCATCGACACATAGCATCACTGGTCTGGCCAACAGCAATCACACAGCACTGCTATCACTGGCCCTACATTACAGCAACTTACATATCTCTACACTAAAATAAACATCGCTGCCTCCGATCAAAGCATGGTTAGCTTTACTAGTAATCACCTCAACAAAATTTACAACAACAAAACATGCATATTTTAATTTCTTTTGACGAAATTAATAGAAAACACGATTTTTGTTTAGAGATAAAATCATAAATACTACATTTTCAATGTAATATTTTTTGAAAATTTTGAATTCCTTTTTTTTTTAAACCATCTGTGTCAAGATAACCAGGCCTTGCTTTTTCAGATAAAAAATGGTTCATAAGAAAATATCAGAACTCTTGAGATTTTCATTTGAATGAGTGCAGTGAAAAGTTGCAGGCCCGTTACCTGACAGGTAGTTATGGCAACAGAACCTGATCCCTAACTGTCAGTCCTACACACAGGGCCGTATCCACCTGGGCGATAGCGACAGTTATGTTCTCCAGTCTGGATTTGTTACTCCACAAGATATCGGTATCAACACCTTCTTAGCTTGCTGTATTCTTAGCAACTTGGTCTGATTGTAAACATGTCATTTCCGTTTATGATTACCTAGGCAAGTCAGTTTCTGGGCAATAGAAATGCAAGACTGAATTAATTCGTAGAAACTCTAATAACAATATCAGATTTATTTAAACTACATTGAGAACTAATTCTTCTAGTATCAATAGCAGCAATTAATTGTATTTTCTTTTTACAAAAAAAATATGTGTCCAGACTACCAAGGTTCTACTGTACACACAAACAAAAAGTGTCCAGACTAACAAGGTTCTATTGTATACACAAACCAAAAAAATGTTTATCATGTCCATAACAAATTACATAAGGAGTAAACAACTACTAAACATAATGATGCATGCTGCCAGGACATTCTTTTTTTCTGAATGATTGCCGAACCTTACAAAATTCTCGAAGCAGCCATCATTGAAAAACTTTTTACTTTAGTTGGTAAACTCATTTGAAGGGATCAGGAAAATGGATGAGGCACTTTTAAGGGATGGGGCATTTATTAGGTCCACTTATTGTGCCAAATATGGTAACATAACTAATGATATAGCACACTCAGATATATGACTTCTGACATCAGGCAACCTGGGTTTGGTTCTTCTATCACTCTTCATACAAAGGGAAGGGAAGGTGGGAGGATAGGACGTATAATTGCTGATATAGGAAAGCTCTGACGTACTAGTTGTGCCACGACCCTCAGTATGAGTGCCAAAAGGAATGACAGGCCGCGTTCTTTCTTTCCTACTTACGATTCCAGTCAATATATTTATACACACTCGGCCACACCACAACACCACACAGCCTACCTAGTCCCTGCTTACATAAGTAAGTTTGTGTACGACCATTTTTTACTCACAGAACTTCTGTAACATTCTCCTTCATCGTTGTCGATGACTCTGATACCCCAAACCCACCCCTTATTTAACCTCTGTCATTTTATATTGTTACACCTCAAGTGAATTTCTAGCTATTTGATTGGTTGGGAGAAAATTAAACAAAAATCACTGTCACCCTCTGAAAATACATTGGTTTGAAGGGGCACGGGTGATATTGCCATGAGACAGAAAAATATCACATGCGCGAAAAATGTGCGTTCCGGGTTCTTCACAGTGGCCATTTCTCGATGCTTCGTTTCCTCACCGTGATGGTCACAAGAACGTTTGACGGCAACAGCCAATTTATTAAGCGCCGGTGCGATAGCGATTGTAAACAGCAGACTATCAACAAACAAGATGTCATTATCGAGGTTTGCTGCCGTTTCTGAGCTATGGAGGAGATTCTTTCCTCCAAGGACTCAAAAAACACTCAGAGGGTGGTTAAAGGAAGCTGCCGTGTATTCATAGTTTTCTAGGCAAGGATAGTAATTTTGAAGACTTTACGAAGCAGAAACTCAATGAAAAACTTAGAACATGTTGATAATTTTATGTCTTTGTTATGAAAATAAATTATTACATGTATATAAGACAAAGATGTGTAGAAGTTTCCTTTTTAAGATAAATATTTATTTCGAGACTTTTGGTGTAACAAAATAGATATGACATTCATTAGCAGGTGACAGTGAATATTGTCACCCCTCAAAAACCCATTGTCGCCCGAGGTGAATGTTTTCTCGAGTTGACAATATTCACTGTAACCTGCTATGAATGTCATATTTATATACTGTCCCCTTCACTAAGCATTCCAAATGGCCGCAGTCCCCCCCCAGAAACTGCCCTCCTTTAGCAAACACAAAGGTACTCTACCTATACTACTTTATATGTATCCTCCCAGCCACACGTGGCCCTAAATAATTGAACTTGTTGAGGCAAATACGACCTGTTCCCTCTATAAACCCTGTCTCCCAAGCCCCTAACAACCCCCCCCTCCCAAGGGCAGCTGCCTCCTCCCAAATCCCTCCCAAATACACTATCTCCTGCCCCACACAACCTACCCCCCCCCCAACACATCCTAGCACCTGCCCAAAAAAGCCTTCCCCCAAACATATCCTGTTCCATGCCCACAAAGCCTCCCCTGCCAAATAAACCCTGTCCTACACAACATTCCCCACCCCCGGACAGCTTCCCCCTCCCAAATACACCTGTCCCCTGACCCACAAAGCCTTCCCCCAACACACCCTGTCCAATGCCCCACACAGCCTTCCCCTAACACACCCTATCCAATGCCCCACACAGCCTTTCCCTAACACACCCAGTCCCCCACCCCACACAGCCTTCCTCCAACACACCCTGTCCAATGCCCCACACAGCCTTCCCCTAACACACCCTATCCAATGCCCCACACAGCCTTTCCCTAACACACCCAGTCCCCCACCCCACACAGCCTTCCTCCAACACACCCTGTCCAATGCCCCTCACAGCCTTCCTCCAACACACCCTGCCGCACACAGCCCTCCTCCAACACACCCTGTCCAATGCCCCACACAGCCTTCCTCCGACACACCCTGTCCAATGCCCCACACAGTCCTCCCCCAACATGCCCTGTCCAATGCCCCACACAGCCTTCCTCCGACACACCCAGTCCCCCACCCCACACCGCCTTCCTCCAACACACCTTGTCCAATGCCCCACACAGCCTTCCCCTAACACACCCAGTCCCCCACCCCCCACAGCCTTCCTCCAACACACCCTGCCCAATGCCCCACACAGCCCTCCCCCAACACACCCTGTCCAATGCCCCATACAGTCCTCCCCCAACACACCCTGTCCCCTGCCCCACACAGCCCTCCTCCAACACACCCTGTCCAATCCCCCACACAGCCTTCCTCAAACACACCCTGTCCAATGCCCAACACAGCCTTCCTCCAACACACCCTGTCTAATGCCCCACACAGCCCTCCTCCAACACACCCTGTCCAATGCCCCACACAGCCCTCCTCCAACACACCCTGGCCAATGCCCCACACAGCCTTCCTCCAACACACCCTGCCCCACACAGCCCTCCCCCAACACCCCCT